ATGTCTACAACTGAAATGACATTATGGTTGCATATGCAGTCTCCTTGGTTCTTGCCTCCAAGAGAGCTGTTTCTAGCAAACAAGAACCCTGATTCTAAGGGTATTTGAAGGACCAGTTTACACAGCTGAGAGGCAGTTTTCTTCACTTGCAGTGAGCAGTGAAGCAGGTGTGGGGGGCATTTATTCCAATGCTTTAATTTCCCATGGAATATTTTCCATTTCATAAGTTCATTAGTAACAAAGAATGGATGCCAAATACAATATAATGGATGCCAAATACAATATAAGGCAAGCTTGGTAGTTTCAAAGTGTTTAGTTTTGTTTACTAAAATAGAAGTAAAATAAACATTCTAAAATTAGGCCACTCCCTAGGGCATCTGAAAATTTTCAGTGCAAACTGAAAGTTTTCCAGTGCAACTGAGTCTCATTTGCAAATTACCACTTCTTGAGGAATCAACTATCTCAATACAAATGTTTCCGAAGAACCCACATTACTGGCAGTGAGGGTAGCACGTTTGCAACCCCCCCCCATGCCAGGAGGTAAACTGGGCAACTGCCCAGGGTCCCATACCTTTGCATTTTTCTGTCAGATTGGTTATCTAATTTAATCCCCTTTAACACAGATTTAAAGCAGCCTTCAACTGCTCAGAGACATCTGCATAGGAATTGGTTTGCATTTTGCAGTCTATTTTTCAAAGTTTTCCAGCAAAAGAGAGAGGGGGAGGAATGTTGCCAGCTAAGACCTCTTTTGATATAAATGGGGATTTCCACTTAAAAACCAATCTGTCTCTGGACAGCCCAATAGCTGGAAGGCTTTCCAATAGAGTTGCAAAGAGCTTTTTTACAATCTTAGATTTGTCACAGTCGTGTGTCTGGTGAACTCACCTCATCTGTGCCAAAAAAGAACTACTTGGCACTCTGTCCTCAGTGGATTTTGGAAGGGACCGCTGATCTTCTTTGACTGGCCCAGCAGCAATTAGGCACACAGGCAAAGAGATTCAGTGAATTCCTTAGTTTCCTTTTTTAAAAATGTTTGCATTGGCAAACATTGACATTCCACAAGTAAAACAAATATGATTCATCCCTACCCTAATGCAAATTGGCGCTTGCTTCCAAATGTCACACAGATTTAGAAAAGGAAAAATGAGCCCACCCCCAATAATATAAGAAAGCAAGAAGAGCCATGCTGGAGCAAAGCAAAAGTTGAGCTAGTTCAGCATTATGTTCCCACAAAAGCAACCAGTTGCCTATGGGAAGCTCACAAGCAGGCCCTGAATGCAATCAGACTCTATTGCTCATAATCTCCCACATACTGCCTCTGCTGCAGGAGGAAATATATAGAAACCTTGACTAGTAGCCATCGATAGCCTTCTTCTATATTCACACAGCATTGTTTCTGTTCCACTGCAGTTCATCTTCCACCAAAAAGTACATTATTCAACCCACTGGCAAAATTGCGTAACTTATGTAATTTATGTAGTTAGTTATGTTCCACGTCCATTGCCATCATTCCACCTATTCATTTCAAATGCAAAGGAAACACAATGCATATAGGAGAGGAGAGTAATCTAATTACTTATCGTTTGTGGACTGAAAGCAACAACAACAACAGCAGCAGCAGCGAGTACCAATCATAAATGCTGGATTGATTTCCATTCAGGACATGAGACAACTAAGTAGATATTTGCAATTTCTGCTCGTTTATGTTTTTCATGCAGTTCTCCAACATCCCTATCTGTATCACAAAGTGGCTGCTTCAGATTACTTGATGTAATGGATGGGTGGTATCATTTAATTCAGGGTGGTGAATATTTGTTTGGTTTTTTGACCAGAGGTTCTCATTTTCCCTTGGCTGTGATCCTCCAGCAGCCACACCTTTAACAGCAGTCTTGTGGTGGGTGTGACCACACCATGGTACAAACACACTCTTACATGCCCACACCACAGGGCACACATCTGCAGGACAAGAAGAGAGAGAATAACCCCCATACAGATCAACTGAGGAGGCTGCTACTACCTACTTCCTGCTCATCAGTTGATCAGTGTGAGGTACTAGTCTGCAGTACTAGGCTAGGCAAAGAGGTTGAAGCCTCTCTTCTCACTCCAGCAGTCTGATGGAGATTCAAATTGCCCACTCCATGGTCATGAGATAGATCATCTGATAAGTGAAGAGGGGGTTATTTCATGATTCAAATTTCCATTGCAGCAGTGGGCTGAGCAGAGAGTTTTAAACCTCTCTGCCAAGCCCAGCACCGTGTCTAGTTTGAAGGCAATTACACTCAGCACTGGCAAAATAAGTAGTCAAAGGGAACCGCTAGGGGTTCACCACTCCTGATTTAATTGATTACCTTAGTGAGATTAATTAAAAACTCATTTGATTGACTAGAAAGGTGCCTAGATTAAGTGGGCACCAGATTTTAAAATACAAAGACACAAAATCATTGTGTCTAATCAATATAAACAATAAACTGCAGGTGGCAAGCACCATCTTAAAAGAGGTGTTCCTCTTTAGCTCCCCAGCAGGATAGAATTATTCTTTTCAAAAGCATGAAAGAATCCTTTTTGTTTCACAGCCATTATTTTCACTCATACCCAAATTGCTGCAAATTTAATTGATTAGCCAACTAAAACTCAGATCAACATTTCTATAATCAGGTGAAAGCCCTCTTATTTCACTCACAGAGAGCTTTGCCACTATAAAATCACCCAAAGCAATGTAAGAAGACATGTAGCAATAATCTGCCACAAAGTGCCCAATGCTGATTATATTTTCCATATGTAAAATCCTCATTAAAATAAAGAATAAATAGCACTGCTATTACAATGAGGCGACTGCCTTTCATAGCGAGTAGAAACCATAGCTCTGTTTCTTCTTCCAAATTTTGCCTTGCATCTACAAAAGGGAAAAAGGAGATCTGACACAGAGGGCGTTAGACATACTCATTTGTAGAATATTTACCTTTTAATGCAGAAGGTCCTAGTTTCAAACCATGGTTTCTCAAGACAGGATTAGTATAGACTATTTCCTGAAACCCTGGAAAGCCACTCCAAGTCAGTTCACAAAATGAGGTCCTCCGGGGCTCTCTATATCTGACCCTCAAGACTCTCCAAATCCATACTTCTCACCATCCCTGCTCTGTGCCCTTCCAGAGTGCTTTGCCCAGAATATATCCTTGAACCTTGATATGTCCAGTACTTGATTGGATGGAAGACGGAGAGAGTTGTGAGTGCCCTTCATAGCTGCAAGCTGCTTCCCAGCCTAGCTGTTTTGGGGTGACATCAGCTGGTGGCTGGGGGGTAGATTTCAGCCCTGCTGGGTGCTGCTTTGCCAGTCCAATTTAACAGGTGGGGGAGACCAACCCACCTACCAGTTGCCTAACATCACCATAACACCAGATGATTGGCAGGTGGGTGGCCCCACCCAGCTGTCAAAAGCTAGCCCATAGTGTGGGGGTGAGAGATAAAGATCTGGCCTGCCAGACCAAAAAGGTTGACCACCTTTGCCATACACTAATATTGCAATGACAGATTTTATGCTTCTGCATTTTCAGAGCGTGGGAAGTGGTAGGAAACGAATAGAGGCTAAGCACTCAATTGCTGGCTGTTGTTTAAAGAGAGAGCCAAGTGGTAATTTTGCAACGATCACATCTCAAATATTTGGCTATTTCACAGGTCGTAAAATGATTACTCTGAAACTCTTTGCTTATCAGGGTGACATTGTATGTTGGGTGACCCTCCAAAAATTGGAGGTTATCTTACCATTCATTTGAAATGCAAACTGAATAGAAAATCTATAGCTTATTGCCCTGTGTTTTAAAGTGAAACCAGGCACTCTACTGACCTCCTATTTACATTTCCTTGAGAACAGGGCAGGGGGAACAGCAACCATAAAAGCTATCAAGAAGCATTTCACAGCAAGCAAATTAATTGGTTTTTACTGTATTTGAATAGAGCTATTGTCAAATAAAACATGCCATGACAGTTAATAGTGTCATTTAGAGGCATAAAATTATTGGCTTATTTGTTATTGGATAAAAACAAAGGCAAACACTTTGTATTAGGAAGTTTTAATGTGTTTAAAATCCTCATTAGGGATTTATGGACATTCTTGCTTAGCAGAGTGCCTCATTAATTTGAGGCTAAACAGTTACAATTCTGTGTTACAATTCCAGTATTTCGGTATGTGGGGGTGGCGGTGGGGTTTGTATGCATGTTTTTTGTGTTTCCAACTTTCCTGTTTTCTTGCATTAGAACCTGGGCTGCACACTGCTGGAAATGTAGAATTTAATTAATGCAATTTATAAATTGAATGGAAGTGAGTTATTTTAGGATCTCCTTCTCCCTTTACATTTTAGGGAGCAGTTAAGAAGTGTGATGTGTGAGCACATACAGATCTAAGAGTTTTTCGAATCTCAGGGAAGGCTAGAGACCTCAATAGTGAATACATTTAGCAGTGTCTCTTTGCATCAATAGATCAAAGTGGTTTAATTAGAAATGTAACTAAAGAGGAGGTAGTAAAAATCCTGTTGAAATCCAGACTTCTTTAGCTTTTTAAGTTATGCATTGTAGCAAAGAAGGACTTCTTCAGCTATTTTACAGCCTCAACCAGGGGCAATTAATATAATCTCACCACCATTGCCATCCAAAAGCAATTATAATAATGCAACACTTCTCTTGCACTGCTTCAATTTATAAAGTTGACTTGGAAGTAGAAATTGAAGTTTGTTACATTACTAAAGTCTATTCTTCTTTTATCCATTTTTGTGGATATTTTTTACTTCAAATATTTCAACCAGATTGTTGACCAGAGCTGGTTATAGGGAGTATACAACTCCCTTGTTGCAACATCTCCATTGGCACAATTCAAAGTTTGTTTGCTTTCACATTGACTGCCTGCTGAATTTTAAATGGTTGTAACCTGTCCAGGAACCTATGGGTGAATGGAGGGTAATACATTTAATAATAGTAATAACAAGAATAATTCATTTCTCCCCTTCTAGGTCAACCTTCTCAGTGAGTCCAATTGTGTGGATGACATATTGCGGGTAAGTTGAAATGTTTCCATCTGTTATCACTTGAAAACCTGTGGAGCGGGGGCAGCTGATACTGTTGCGAACTTAGATCTGGTGCAAATCTCTGTTCATGCATGAAGGTTACTGGGTGATTTTGAGCCCAATCCATCTCCCTCAGACTAATCTAATGGGTTGGAAGGGAAGTAAAAATAAACAAATACATCAAATTGAAGTCACCTAGTGCTAGTCCTACTCAGGGTAGACCAATTCAAATTATTTTGCATGACTAACTTAGGTTCATTAATTTAAATGGGTTTACTCTTAGGGTGACTAGCATTGGATGCAACCATTGAACTCTATGGAAGAAAGGTGGTGTGCACATATAATAAATCCTACATACTAAAAGCAAACTCATTCTGCTCTGTATCCTCATGTAGGTCAAACACAGCTGGGAGGAGGAGGGGGGCCATCAGGCAGGATTTCCCCCTTGTGTCCCCAGCCTCTGTTTTGTGTAATAGCTTGCCTATTAAAGGGTTATTGAGTTGTTGAAACTTGCTCAGTATTTTGTGACATTTTGCATGGTCCTAGGAATGGTATTGCCCAACTGTGCATTTTGGAAAATCAGCATGGACAAAAAGTATCTTTGGATAATAACGACATCTATACCATGGTCCTAGAGGAAAGTCCATCTTCTCCATCATAAGAGACTGCAAGGGAAGATGTCTATACATTCTCCATTCCATTCCACTAATTCTCCTACTTGGAAAGTCTCGGTTTGGGGCCTTGAAATCTAGTGCAGGAACATTCATGGCAGTGATGGGGAACCTTTAGACCTCCAGTTGTTGCTGAACCTTTCAGCCCCCAAATATTGATGGCATATTATCCCTTGCCATTGGCTATGGTTGCTGGGGCTGATGGGAGTTGTAGTTCGGCAACCTATGGAGAGCCAAAGGTTTCCCACACCTGTTCTACTGTGCACAGCAATCTGTCCAGCCCAACACCAGACACACATTTTGACAAATTTAAGCCAGCCCAAAGAACCATTTACTACCCCCACATAGAGGCCTCTGGGGAAATATTTTGCACAATGGCTCCACCAGGTGGAGGCTACAATACTTAGAGACACCACATGTATGCTGAGCATCGTCAAGAAAAGTATTTATGTCACTTCAGAAAACTCTAAACAACATAAGACAAGCCTGCTGGATCAAGCCAATGCCCCATCTTGTCTAGCATCTTGTTCTCACAGTGGCCACCCAAGAACATTGGGGAGCCAGCAAGCTAAGCATGAGTGCAACGGCATTCTTCTCCACTTGTGATTCCTAGTAACTGATATTCAGAGGCATGCTGCTTGTGACAGGGGAAATAGAACATAGCCATCATGCTTGATAGCCATCAATAGACTTATCCTCCTGCCTCCTGCGGGAGCAAGTTCTATAGTTTGACTATGCGGAGTGTGAACGAGTACTTTCTTCTATCTATCCTTGATCTTCCAGCGTTTAACTTCATAGGATGCCTGTAAGTTCTAGTGTTACAACAAAGGGAGAAGACACTTTTTCTCTATCTACTTTCTCCACACCATGCATAGTTTCACAAATGACCTTTCCATCCAGTGCAAGAGATCCACATGTTAAATATTGTGCTCACACCTTTGCCATCCAGTACTGAGAAACAGTTCCAATGAGAGTGGAGGAGGCTGTGAAGTGAAAGGCAATTATGAGTGTGGACTTCCTCTTGGTTTGTTCTGATTTGTTTGTTGGTGAGGTTAGAGGATGTTGCACCAGAACAAGTGTTCTCTCACACTTTCCATGGCATTTCCCTGCCACTTTCCTTATTGCAAAAAGTCCAATCTGGACCTACCAATCCGCTACAATTGCACAGCCTGAATTAGTTGGTGGGTGATTGGACCCCATGTCAAAACAGCTGCAGTCTGGGAACTCCCCGAGTGTCTCAATAGATACCCACTCTAAGAACAGCACTACTCTAAGTTAGGAACACACATTCAGCTTTTGAACATTTGAACAAATAGCTGGACAGGTGTGATATTAATTAAAAGCTCTGTAGTCTTGAGCAAAAACAAAACCTGCCGATAATTAGAGTAAAATGACTTGAGTTAAATGAACAAAAGGCTGTAATTTATTCTCTCCTCTCTCCTTCTGATGACTGGATTCAATCTAATGACATTGGAGAATATGTAAATTGATCAGCAGGTGAAAATGCCCTTGACTGAGTAAATTATATGCGGTATTACCTTTCTCGTAGCATTTGAAAAAGCGCTAATCGACTTAATATGTACCAGCCATAGCTGAGGTGACTTGTTCACAAAGCAAAATTAGCCCACTAATAGGTTTATCCCAACATCCCCACCTTCCTTGTCACCCTATTCATTGTTTCCTCTTCTGACTTATATTAAAAAAAGGAGATGCTGGAAAACTGCATAAGATGAGGGTGCTGATTGCATTTTGAAACACACCGGCATAGTGTCTAGCAGGGCTGCTCACAAGCCATTTCAATATTTTCTCGTAGAATCCAGAGGTTTTGCTGGGAAGAGGTCGGGTAGGGGGGCAGGAGAGGAGATGATCTGAATTTCAAGTGACTTTACGGACGTCATTGGGCCTGGGAACAGCAAGCCACCCAGCATAGTAAATCATGCAAGCCTGTCAAATGTAGGAACACCTTGGGAAGGATGTGATGTCAAATATCAGTAACTTAGCAACCTAGCCCTTTTGCTGTCTGAAGAATGAGTAAGAATGGGCACTTTCCAACAGAAGAGTAGATAAATCAACCCATATGCCAGGAGCAGCCAGGGCTACAGACGGGAGACTTAAGGTCTTTGCACTACTGCCTTGCATGGTGCAAGTCGGAGAGAATGAGAGCCCTGTATTGTGATGTCCAATTGGCCCATGGCATTTGGAAGGACTATATGGGCATCATGGTCAGGGCAGCGGGTGGTGGTTTCCTGGATCTTCAGTGCCCCAGGCTCCTCACCTTGTCTCTACCTAAGGCTTAGCACCAGTGCTGGGGAGAACTCTTCGGCAAATAGTTTTAGAGCTAGAATAGAAATGGTGTCAGTTCCTGGCACTCTAGGGCAGCTGCCAAGGACTCAGGGCCCTGAAAGGGTCAACTGACAATGCCTGTCTTGGGCTGTCATTACACAGCACTTTGATAAGCACCATAACAGCAATGCCTGGCAATTAAATCCCCATCACAACCATGCCCCAGAGCAAGATGGACACTCTGGGCAGGTTGATACATTTAAATGGCAGCAGCAAGTCTTAGGTGCTCTTGGGAGGGTTGCTGCTGCTGCCACTGCCATATGCCATCAGGGAAGCCCACGAAAGGGCACCTCAAGAGCTGAAGGAGCCCCTAAGGAAGCTCCTGCCATGTTGGGAGGCAAAGGTCCAGAAGCAAAGGAAAGTGAGGCAGCATGGCGACACTGTGACTCTGCATGCATAATCTGTACTTATGTAGAGCCTTTTCTTACTCCAGATAAACATGCAGACAGCAGAGGATGCGGCCGCAGCATGTGGCATTGTTAGCCTGTCCATGCTGCAGCCCCCTCACATGTTCTTTCAACACATGGGTGGGTCATTAGCGAGGACCACAGTTATGAAAAACTTTTATCCAAACATATTCATAAGCTGCCTTGGAAACCTCAGTGACAGAAAGGCAAGTTACAAATCAGATGGATGGATGGATGGATGGATGGGAGACCATTTCATTGTTCTGACCTATCCCCCTAGAGTTCCCTGTTTTGGCAAAGGTTTAGTGAATTTCTGCTGCTGGCTTTGTGTTGTTCTGAAATTAATATGTGTTTGTTAGGACCTCTAACCTTTCGTGGTGGGCAGCATTGTGGCTGGGCATCTGGGCCACTGTAGTGACCCAGCTGGGGATCGATGCCCCCTCCGTGTCTGCCCCGGCCACGTGACCCCTGCCCGGCCAATCTTTGCCAGCAGGGGGAGTGGCTGTGGGTAATTTAAACCATGGTGCGGCTGGGGGCTTCCCTCTCTTGCCTCCTTGCCAGATCTCCCTACCCACATGCCCTCTTTTTAAAGCTTTGTTATGACATAACCTTGCTATGGACAGATGTCAGCTGCCTTGTTGTTGGGGCTGGGTAGGAATTTTTCCACTTGGAGAATTGGCACCTGCTATTTGGTTTTCGCCTACCTAGTAGCAATCGTCACAACTTTGTTAGGTTAGGCATTGGGTAAGCCTTTTGTAAATGGAGAGGGAGTTGTAGCCTCCATCTGCCCCTCCTCGTTAAGGGTATCCTGTTAAAGGGATCCGGGGGTGTGGATTCTGGCCAAAACCTGGACGTGGGCTAGGGCCATGCCATGACCCCAATGGGGACCCTTCAGTGTGCTCTTATTTGATGTAAGTCATAGGGCTCCCTCTTTCGGTGGTTTACCCTTAGTGTGACTCCCTGCAGACAGGCAGGAGTCAAGATATAGCCTGGCTTCACCCAATGCCTAAACCAAACTGCTCGCATCTGCAGCCAATAAAGTTATGCCTGTTTTAGCCCATAATCCTAAACACTCGTGTCAGTGTGTTTATTATTCAGCAGGGTACTGCGGGGCACGGGGCCTTGACACGCAATTAGATTTCTTGCCCCAAAGTTCAGGGATGATGGGAGATGTAGTCCAGCAAGATGTGGAAGGTCACATATTCTTCCCTGTGCTGTCTGGCTGTCTTGGAAAATATGTTTTATTGTTTGTGCAGAAAGGAGACAGAATTAATGGAAAGCATGACCCATCAATGACATATGTAGGTCAGGCATGGAGAGTCTGTAGCCCCCTGGATGTTGTTGGACTCCAACTCCTATCAGCTTCATTGAGCATGGCCAGTAGTTATCAGGTATGGTGAAAATTGTAGTCCAACAATGTGGGGGCACCAGGTCCACCAATTCCCTATCCAACATGTAGATGTTCTTGGAGGGGAAACTAGGGTTATATCCATCACTAGTCCTACTCAGAACAAACCCACTGAAATTAATAAGCATGGCTAACATAGGCCCATTAATTTCAGTGGGTTTA